AAAAAAAAAAAAAAACACCGACAGCCGCTGGCCTGCATTCCTTAGGGTTCCGTATTACAACCAGGGTATAATCCCAAACCCTGTAGACCCTATAATTCCTAAACCCTATAGACCCTATAAATCCTAAACCTTATAATCCCTATAAATCCTAAACCCTAGAGACCCTATAAATCCTAAACCCTAAAGACTCTATACATCCTAAACCTTATAAACCCTATAAATCCTAAACCCTAAACCCTATAAACCGTAAGCCTAAGCAGGTGGCGAGCAAGGAAGAATTCGAGAAGCTCAAGGCCGGCTCTCTTTAGGGGGTTTTAGGGTTTAGGGTTTAAGTTCTGGGGTTTAGAGTTTATGGTTTTAAGTTTTAGGTTTTAGGGTTTAGGGTTTAGGGGTTTAGTTGAAGGCTTTAGGGTTTAGGGTTTAGAGTTTAAGTTTTAGGGTTTAGAGTTTATGGCTTAAGTTTTATGGATTTGGGTTTAGGATTTAGGGGTTTAGAGTTTGGGGTTTCGTTTGAGGGGTTCAGGGTTTAAGTTTTAGGTTTCGGGGTTTATGGGCTCCGACGGGTTGCTATAGCTCTTCTACGAAGCTTACTAAGACGATTGCCATAAGGGTTACTCTAAAGTGCTATAGTTGCTCTAAGGGTTGGGGTCTATGGGGTTTAGGGTACATAGGAGGTTAATTGGTGCTTAGGGTTCTCTAGGATTTAGGGTGTGAGGTTCAGGTTTGAAGTCTGGGGGTCTCTGAGGTCTAGCACGGTTTGCGGGTGAGTTTCTGGGTGTGGGGGTTTGGCGTTTACGGTTCTACAATGCTTACTGAAAAGGCTTCAATAAGCACGGGTTCGTCATGTGTTAGGGTATCAAGAATGAAGGAACCGGATTGGGAGGCTTCGGGTTCAGGGAGTCGGGCATCAGGAATCAACCGTCTAGGGTCTTGAGAGGGTAGGGTTTCGCACGCACGCACACACACACACACACACACACACACACACACGCGTGTCACACATCTGATCGAACTTGGAGCTAAGATGTTTGTCAACGCATGAATATTACCCTGCGTGAGGGCCCCTCTTCTGCTCCTCATTCTCAGAGTGCGGCAGGCCGCTGAGCACTCCGAAACGGGACGCTAATTATCATGAGCTACCCATGTCCGGGAACGGCAGGAAGAAATGAAGCGGAAAGCAGATGCAAGCAGCTTGGCTTGCAGCGTGGTCTGCTGCTCGTGCTCACTGGCTAGGACTTCAGGTGTTTGCATCGTGTCGATGTCTGTGTGTGTGTGTGTTTTCTTTGCATGGGTGTTCCCTAAACCCTTGGCCCTAGACTCCCTAGACATAGACCCGGATCTGAAAACCTACCTGAACTTTAAAAGGAACCTTGAATCCGAGTTCTCAAACCGTAAACGTTCAGTTGTTGTTTGGTTCTTGGTGAAGCCAACTTGCCGAGTTGCCGAAACCGAGGTGATGTGCCCACCAATGAGAGCATTCAGATGTGGAAGAAGGAGACAGTCTGACTTGGTTCAGGGTTTGGAGCCTTGTGGAGAGGGTTGAGGGCTTGGTTTCTTTGTACTACTACTCATACGACTTCTCAATGGCGACGACCACATGCAGCTCCTAGGACAACGATGGGTAGCAACAAAAAAACCAAATACAGGAAGGCGCTTTCGCGAGGGTCACTTGTGAAGCAAATAGTTGAGCCAGATCGCTGGCAGGATGTTGCTTCCTGCGCCTCCATCCGAGTCTTGAACCAGGCTCTGCACATGAAGGCGAGGGTGGATTGGGGGGTTTAGGGCTTATAGGGTTTATAGGGATTTAGGTCTTAGGGTTTAGGGTTTACTACTGTAGGGTCGAGGAGGGCTTGGGATTCTGTATCTTCGGGGAGTCTTACAGGGGTGCTCGTAGCTTATGCGGGAGTCCATATGTAGCAATGATACCACTCTCTGGGATTCCCACATTGCCTTGTTTTCCGAAACTCCCATATATCCATTTTGATGGTACATAAACCCTAAACCCTAAACCCTAAACCCTAAACCCTAAACCCGGTTCAGGATTCGGACCCTCGGGACTTGATGCACGGGACTTGGTACGGGCTTGTGGATTGCCAGGCGACGGTTTGTCTGGGGATTCGCGATGTCACCTTCTCCATGTGAAGGACAGGGATGTAAGCCCCAAGCCAAGGACAACTTACTGTACGTGTTGGATTGCGATGTTCTGCAAGATATGTATAGAATCTATAAGTATATAAGCGCTGGTCTGCATTATGTGTGTCTCACGGTGCTGATTGAAATAGGCCAAACAAGCCACGCGGTCTCACAGAGCCAGCCAGAACGGAGAGCAGTCCTGATTCGTCCCCGTCTGCAAAGTCACGATTACCCTAACCCCTAAAGGTACATGTGCCCAAATGATATTAACTTGGGCCTTGAGGTAATGGGTATATAGACCTTTAGAGTTAGGCTTCCCGGGATCAACTCACATCAACAGGCCACCCCTCCAATATGCTGTCTAAAAAAATACCAGCTTGAACAGCAAACCTTTTAAGTCATCTTATATATATATATATATATGAAATATATAAAATATAGATGTACAAATATACATACACATAGTATATGTGTACTTATACCCGAATCAAGTAAAATTCATACACTGCTTTAACAAAACCCTGACCCCGATATCCTCACCTCTGAGAGTTCCCACGTGACTCTCAGAAGCTCCTGGGAAAAGGACTGGGAGTGCCAACAAAAAATAGGACGGCTAGAATAGGAGTTAGGACTAGGGGGACCCTTGGGGATATAGGCCCTCTCAATAAGGTCCCTTTTAAGAGAGCCAAGAGTAGGGGAGAGAAGGGTTTCCTTTAAGGGGTCTCCCGAATACTAGAACCCATAGTATAGAACCCGAAGCAGTAGGATCCTGATTATACGGACGGTACCCCCTCCCTCCTTTTTTTCAGAAACCCTCCACATGAGGCGAACTCGAACATCGTGGCAACGAAGGAAGAGATTCAGGTGCCTCGAAGTCACTCGAGCCACCCGCTGAGTTCTGATATAGATTAGGTTTTGGGGTTTAGGGAGGTAGATGTTCGGAGACGTGGATTGACGGCTCCGCTTTGTGTTGAGGAGTGTGGTCTGTCAGGGTGTGCGATCTCTCAGAACACAGACCCCACATACCCAACCTCCCGAACTCAAAACCCTGACCAATCAACTGAAACATAAATCCCAAATCCAAGAGGCCCGCTTGCCCCCGAGGCGTATCCTCATGCAAAAATCCATCACCACCCGCACTCCTAAGTCGCTGATTCCCGAAGCCCAAGAGAGGCATTGCAGCAGCTTTTGCTGAGCAAAGCCGATATCAGCTCCGTGCCGAACTGGAAGGACATTGCCCGGTTTGGGCTCGTAGCTTCCGGGCTTTGGGGTTAAAAGTTTAAGGCAAGCTGAGCCCTGAACCCACAAAAAAAAACACATCGCCACATCTGCAGGACTTCCATGCCCTCAACGACCGTGTTATGAAGAAGGCAGACCGCCGCTCGGCCCAAAAAAGTAGGTTGAATCGAGTGTTCAAGGTTTGGGGTTTAGTAGAAACCCTGTGAGGAACCTCAATCCTGACACGGCTTGAAGTTTCGAGTTTAGGGTTTAGGGGTTTAGAGGTTTAGGGTTTATAGGGTTTAGGTTTACGGTGCCTCGTCGTTTTTTGGGCCTCGCAGTAGACGAGGTTGGCCCATAGCTGTCCGTCAACTAAGGGGACATGGTGCCGAGCACGGCACAGTTCCAGTCGCTGAACTCCACCGTGGCCAAGATGATGGACGGCCTCCCGGCCAAAGCTGTAGCCTACTCTCTAGGCCCGGAGCCCTAACTTGACAGCCTTCAGGCCTAAACTCCAAAATGGTTTTGATTTGATGCTGTTCGAGTCCTGGCTAGCTACAAAAATAAGATCGCAGAGAACGCCGGCATGCGCACGCAGTAAATCCTAATTCGACTATAAGCCAGCCGGTCGAAGGGTCATTTAGGGTGCCAAGAAGCTATAGTCTGAAAGCTCCCCATCTCTGGTGCCTTGATTGGATCGGAACGGTCATTAATTAAGGCTCCGATTCAAGTTGTAGCTCAGCTTTCAACAATCCGGAGACTCAGATGCCGTTCAAAATCCTTAAACCCTAAACCCTAAGCCCTTCAACATCCCTGAACTTCAAGACTCCACGGCCTTGGGCTAGCTTCACATCATCCTCGACGTTAAGTCCTAGCGCCTAGATGAAGGAATCAAGATCGTATGTCAATGTAACCACCTCATCTTGAAGGCTGTTGAATGGGATTCCGGACCTGTCCAGCTGCGGCTGCTCAAGAGTAGTACTGCTCTTACTGCTGTTGCTAGACCGAGTGCGAAGATTTCGACTACAACACCTGCGCTATCCACCTACTGCTAACTCCTCCTACTGCTGCTCCTATGCCAACCATTGCTGCTGCTGCTGCTGCTGCTGCTGCTGTGACCTACGACCACCACGACGACGACTACTACTGCTACGACGACGACGACGGCTGCTGCTAATCGCTTCATTGCATTGAACGACAGGTGTTGCTAGTCTCTAGACGGCACACCCCATGATTCTTCACCCTCCAGAACAGACTCAGCTCCAAAACTCTCGAGGCCTCAGCCCGCGATTCCCTTAGCCCTCATACCTCCGAACCATAATATGCAAACCTCAACCCCCAAACCCAACCAGAAACCACCCCCCCACCCTAAAGAACCAAAGCCCCTACCCACCCGTAGAGCCCTTCAATCCCCCCTGAGCCTACCAAGCGCCAAGTGTACGAGGCGATTCTGCGGAGCCGCTGTTGAAGCGCCGCCGAGGTGGCGCAGAAGAGGAGAAGGCGAACGATCGGGGAGAAGCCCAGGGCTCATCGGATTGGAAGGGCTTTGGGTTTTATGATTTGGGGTTTAGGCAGCAGGGTTTCAGGATTCAGGGCTTTGGGTTTCGAGCTTTTTAAGACTTGTGATTCGGACTTGTCAACTTTAATAGGTTCGGCTTTGGGAATTATAGGGTTACATAAATCAGGCCTTAGGTTTGGGATTTTGGAGTTCGCGGGACTTGGGTTTAGTGTTTGAGCCGTTGGCGGTTGCGCTTCTAGCGTAGATTGTGGGATTTGGGTCTGCATCAGACTCACGCAGGGGAGTGAACGATCATCGAATAGTCTAAGGTCCTGGATTCGGTTAGTTAGGAATGTATGTTCAAGGTGGAACACCTAAGCCAGCTTCGAATGCCGTTGTTCTTTAAATCAAGAGTTGCCTTTCTTCAAGGTTTAGCGCAGGGGCTTTCGGCTCCCGAAACCACAAATTCTCTCTAAACCCTAAACCTCAAGCCGTACACTTAATTCTAAACCGTAAATCTCTGAACCCCTTAACCCAAGCTGCCCCAGATTCCTGGATCCCAATGCTTCAGGAAGAGGCCTCGAAGATTCTGGCGACTTCTGCGATGATGTTCCTCACTCAGCTTTATAACGGTTAGAAGGTTATTCTTGTTGGAAAGCTTGTTGTTAGCTGCAAGACGCAGCAAGTCTCTCTTCAGTATATGTACGGCTCCTTTTTTTGGAGGGCGATAAAGTTTGTGTTTGTTGGGGGCGTGGGGTACAGCCATGGATGCTTTGCATGACGGCAGTGACACCAGGGCGTAGACGGCTCGTTTCCGCTGGAGATGAGTCTCGGAGGGTGCGATTGGGGGCCTTTGCCCCGAGTTCTGGAGCCACCAAGAAGGTCAACTCTTACTAGAGCCTCAAGGGCACCAACTAAACCCTAAACCCTAAACCCTAAACCCTAAACCCTTGAACGCTACTCCCATAACCCGAAACGTTGGGACCCTCAGACTGTAGCCCTAAGCCTAGACCTAGGGACCCTCAAGCTGCCCTCCCAAAAACCTCTCCCGACCTCGGAGTCTTTCGATTAGCAGTGACCCCAAACCAAACTCTAAACCCTACACCCAGAGAATGGAACTCAACTCTAAACCCTAAGCCCAGAGAATGGCACTCTGATTAAGGGAATCGGGTTCAAAACGAGGGTGTCGTTGGGACTTCCCCAGACCTCAAAGCGGTCAAAGGCCCTTTGGGATGCAGAGAAGTCACGTCTCCTCGGAAGTTCCGCCACCGGCACCGAAAGAAGCAGGTGGGCTTTGAACTTTGGTGCTGAGAGCTACGAGCTTAAGCTAGGTTTCGGGCTTTGCTTTCCGGGTTTTTCTCTCAGGCTTCAGGGTCGTGGGCTTGGCGAGGATTTGGGAGGGCACCAAGGAGGTTGGGGTTTAGGGTTTAGGGGAGGCTGCAGAACCACCAGCAGTCTTCCACCTGCCCTAGTTAGTGGCTAAGTCTTTAAGGGCTCAGATTCTTAATGCGGAGGTTTGCTAACTGGGACCTGCTTGTGTACAGCCCTATATATAGGAGCTAACCGCCCAAGGAGCTAAGACTTAATTTGGAGCTTTGCTAGCTGGGACCTGCCTGTGCGCGGCCCTAGGGGGCTCAGATTATTGATTGCTATAGTTCTAGTTTGTGTACTGTTGTTGTTCAGCCCTTGCAAAAGTTAAGAATCTGTCGTCCAGATTTCAAGGTGGGCTCGAATTCTTCAGTCAAGGGCACGGTGCGCATAGTTGAAAATATCGCAATGTGCAGTAAAATTCAGTCCCTCAAAATTCTTAAGCAATGAATTTAATCAATACTTCCCGCTGTATTGTGGCCCATGCTGACAGTCGGTCATGTTGACAGCTTGTCCAAGTTGTAGAGCTTTGATGTCTTGTGCCTTTGCGGTTGGGACGGGATGCCTTTTGGACCCCTCAGTCTTTGTGGCTGGGTGTGGCATGTGCTCCAGGTTTTAGGTGGGATGCTATCAATGCCAAGGGGTCTCGCATGAGTCGGTAGTAGGCATGACTTGTGGTCTCAGGGTTATGACTTTGTTCAGCGGTGGGCTGCCCTCTTGCAGCATCCAAACCAACCAATCCACTCTATGCCTTGGTGTACAAAACCATTATTTATCGAGATGTCTGAGCCGCTCAGTAAAATCTCAGAGAGACGCTGCCACACAAGCGATGCACAGCAAGAAGTTCGTTTTTCTTATCGTCAAGCGTAAAATCCAAATTACCCGCAGTGAAGAACCCGCCGCCCTTGTTGTATTACTTTCTGCCCAGTCCCCAACTGGAGTTCGACAAGGTAAGTATCAGATGCGTACGGATATGTCTTCCTGGCTTTTGCATAGGTTTTGTGTGCGTGAGGGACCGCGAATCTAGTTTGGGTTCCTTGTACCACCCATTCTGAAATAGGAGAGGTGACTGGCCCCGACCCCCGGATGCTGCTAGACCCAGAACCCTAAGCCTGAAACCCCGAAAACCTAAAACCCTATAAACCCCCAACCCTGAAGCCCGAAGGCCTAAACTACCAAAGTCCTAAGCCGCCAGCTCCCGCAACTCCGGCACGCCGTGTTACCACGAAGAGCCCTGCCACACCCGGAGCTGCGAAGCCTGGCGGCGTTAGCCGGAGGGTTTGTGTGGTTTCTGCTTTGGAGTTTTGGTGGTTGTTTAGATGTAGGCGTTTGGACTTTATGGGTTTCGGGTTTGTGTCGGGGTTAGGGCGGTACCGGTGTGTTTCGATCTTGTCTCGGGTGGGTCGCTCAGGGTCTAACCGAGCTTGCTAATCTCATCTTTTCAATCAGTATAAGTATAGGGTGAGCATTTTGCAGTATTCGGACTTCACGTGTGGTTTTTGTTGGCCTTGTTTTGTTGTGGTTTCAGTTTGGCTTGGCCAGCTCGACTGGTCAAGTGTCTGCAGGCATCCCTTCTTAGTTCAGTTCATAGGCACTGCTGGTGAACTGCAGGCTTCCTTGGCCTCATCAGTGGACAAAAACACGAAGGTATCGGGGTATGGCATGGGCGTTATGGGCATTGCTCTAAGCTAACTCCAGAGTAACAGGCTTAACAGGTACATCCTTCATCCCGATTAAAAGCCCTTCCAGACCAGGCCTGCGCCTATGTCGCCGCAAGTGCCCAAGACACCGACTTTGTCCGCAAAGCTTGACCAAGGCGATATTGTCGTGTTGGACCGGAGGGGTGTTGGGAGAGGCTTACGAACGGCTTTCGAGATCAAGGCGCGTTTCGAAGTCGGTGTGCAATGCAGGAACCTCAACAATCCGCTATAGCAAGTGCACAAGGACTGAAAGGGCAGAACACTTTGTTATTTGGACCAGATGTCTTGAGTTTGTCTGAAGCTTGGGGAAGCCCCTAATGCCTGAACCCCCCAAGCCGAGCTTTTGGGATGTTGCTTTGGAACATGGGATCATGCACGAGGCGGTCCTACAGCCTCGACCTTGCATCATGAAGCCGAGTTTAGGGCTTATATAGAGTGCTGACGATGTCGAAGCAAGACAGCCAACCAGCATCCGTTTGCGATGGTGGCTTTTCCCAAGGGCCGACTGAAAGTGCCGGATCCATAAACTCCATATATATATATATATATATAGATGTATATACTACTTACCATTATTGCTACCGTGTATATATATATATATACAGGTGTATATACTACTTATTATTATTGCTACCGAAATTAATGTGTTTATATATATATATATATATGTGTGTAGAAGATCCGACGATAACGCGTGGCAGGTGTTGCCGCCCCTTCGACGCCGGGAGTTGGCAGCAAGCACCGGAGCTGCACCGATTGCACCGCAGCTAGTCGCTTGTCGCTAGTTTCGCAAACCGTAAACCGTACCGGCAGCACCCTAATCCCTGACCTCCTGCTCAGCTCTTAAACCACCACCTACGTAGGCAGGCCGAACGCAATCCGCGCCTCCGAAGTTCAAGCTCGGCCCCAACGAAAGAGCCTGACAGACGCATGGGACAGTAGTAGCATTGCTTCCCGAATGGCGGCAGCATGAAGAATCCCAACTCTTCTAGAAACAGCGGAGTCCATGCGAAGAGTTCGTGTGACGTAACCTAGCTTCTCCGCTTTGTAAGCAGTCCTCGGGATTTGTGAGCTGTCTGTAAGCCCGTGACTTCCATGACAGTGGAAGGACCAACATTTTGTCTGCATGAAGCCTACGCCAAACCAGAGCCACCCTGAGCCCCCCTAAAGCTCCACGCGATGCATGAAGCCCTTCCCAAAACCAGAATGCTATGAACCGTTCAGTCCTGCACCCCTCGCCACCTCCGGGGAGAAGCCTATTCCTAAAAAGCGGGGACGTTACCTTAGTCTAAGCCTTAGACTGCCGCAAGATGGAACTCATGCCGGTAGGGCCTGAAGATGGATGCCTGAGATTTTGCTCCCCCGACAAAGCCTAAAAGCGAGACCCTAAATCAAAATCTGACACACCCCAAACCTAACAATCTGTTCATTCTTATAAACCCTAACTCCGAGTCTATACCCTAAATAAACCCAATAATATTAGAGTTTAGGGGGAGCCTACGGACAGCCTTTCAGGCGAGCAGTGGCCACTCCTGCTCGAGCGGGCACGCCCGGTCGAGCGCGAAGCTTTTCCCCTCCTGCCGTGTGAGTCTCAGTGCATTGGGTTTGAGGGCTAGGGGTTTGGGGCCCCTAACCCTTAAACCCTAAACTGCCCCAAACCCTAGGTCTAGGGCTTGGGGGTTTAACGATGATTCACCCTAAGGTTTAGGGCTTTAGCCTGGGGTCCGACAAAAACGAAATCCTGGAACATGTATGTTTTGCTTAGTCACTTGAGTAGTTCCGTAGTTCTGTAAAGTCAGGTGCCTCTTTTGGTCCCCCGAACTAGTACGGCACTCTTTTTCAAGTGGACCCTATAAATGGGACCTTGATTTAGAGAACTACCCATCTCGTAGGTTGATGCAGGGTTTGACAGGTTCTATCGGGGGCTTACGTACTTGCAGTGCACTGTATTCCATACGGGTTCTCCGGGGTCAGCATTCCCTGTACGACGGAAGGCTTCTAAGAAGCCACCAAAACCGGACCAGACCGCGCGCGGGGGCGGGAGAAGAGAACCACACCAGATGGTTGGTACCCCTCGCCCCCGGGTGTGGTTGGGCCCCCCTGGGCTGTTTGGCATGCATACACAGACATACATATCTATGTAATACATGTGTCATACGCTTGAACTTCTAGAAAATCATAAAAACACACACATATGCATGTACATGGGCATGTACATGTGCGTGTGCCTGTCCACACGCATATACATATAAATTCACACATACCTGTACATCAACATCTTCATATACAAAAAATGTATAAATGCAGACGTGTACATGTGTATATATATATATATGTACTTATACATATAGAATATACACTTGTCTGCACATACACATACCAGTATATACAGTACACATTCCAATGTACATGCACATACATATATACATATACACATACAAATATACATATAAACATAAATATAAATATAAATATATATATATAGAGAGAGAGAGAGTTGATCCATTACCTATTTGTGCAACCAAGGTCACCCCGGCACCCCTGGAACACAAGCCGCTTTTTTCGCCGACCATTGCCCAATCCTTGGCCCGACAGAATGCCTTGTCGAGCTCACTTTTGAGGGTTCAATCTCTCGAAGTGTGTTGTGTGATGGGCCTTGTGACTGGAGTTTGGTTTGGATTTTTTGGGCCTAGAATCTTAGAAGCTTCTTCAGAGATGCGGCTTTGCAGGATATCGAGCACAATATAGGGGTCGGAACAGCTAGTCAAGTCGTAATAGTGTCCCCATATATAGTCCCCTATTACATACCCCGGATCCCTAATCTAATGCTTCAGACCTCTGAACTGAACCCTACCCCCTAAGGTCGTATGTTTGATGGATAAACCCGTATCGAAAACCACGTACAAACTGATTACATTCACATGCTGTTTAGGGTTTAGGGTGTGCTTGATTCTTGAGTGTTGGATGGAGTCTGTAGATGTCCCTCCTCAGGCTGAACTCTTTGAGTCTTTCGATGCGGACGTGGGCGAGGCCGGGAGGAATGGGCTTCGGCAGTTTTTAGTTTAGGGCTTCCGCCTCATATAGGTAGTAGCAATAAGAATCATCATAATGATAGTAATAATGGTAGTTCTCATGACTTTAGTAGTATCAATATTGATGGCAATATGAACATTAAGGTTCATCGACTCCAGATCGTGGTTTCGACAAGCGCTGCGCCAAAATCGCGAAACGCTCTTCACTCAGCCGTGAACCGTCGACTGAAGATCGGCATCCTCAAGGCTAATGCACAAAGCTCCCTACAGTATTCCCCACCCAGACCCCACACGTATGTAGAATAAAGGTCTTTGTAGGTTTCTGGGCCATTAACCTACGTTCGGTGGCTTAGGTAGGCCCATTCTTTGCATTCGAACTGGCAATAGGTCATTCGATTTTTGTTCGGGGGGCTGTGTGTGTTGTAGACGCCCTTGAACACTGCGTGCCCGCATTGTCAATATAGGGGCCTTTAATGGTTAGAATAGGGTTTTGGTGCCCGTTCTACTATAATTATAAACCCCCCCCCCACCCGAAAAAAAAAAATGGGGCCCATAATACAATAATGATAAAAAGAAATCCCCCAAACATAGTATTGGTAATTCTTTAGGCCCCTACATCAAACACACAAGTGCGAAGAGGAAGCCTCGAGCCGAAATCGCCGGTGAAGCTGGAATCCCTTGTGCTGCTTTTGGAGGGTCGGCGGACTTTGTAAGCAATGTAGCGGCCTAAACAATTATCAATACTGTTTTGGGGGTTCCTTATTCTAACTATTGTAAAACCGGGCCCGAAACCCTAATCGTCTAACTATGAAGGCCGCCAAAGTAGAGTTGGAAGTGCCCTTAGCAGCATCCTTAATTGGGGTTGTGATACTTATAGTTCTATTTAAAGTAACTACTTACTAAATCCTCCGACCCTCCGAGTAGGGGTCGGGATACATGGATTACGGCTCCGTAACAAAGTATATTACAATAGAACCCGCAACACCAGGCCCGCGTATCATTACGTAATCCGGGGCCAGGAAAAGACAAAGCCCGAGGGCCACACCACGAGGGCGCAGGCTCGGGCCGTGTAGGGTTTAGCGTTTACTTAGAGGTTCATGGGACTTAGTAACTAGGGTTATAAGTAAGGTATCTAGACTTATAATTACTTACAACCCCAATTCGGGTACTCATAGCCTTACTTACTAAGTCCCATGATCCTCCAAGTAGGGTTAAGGGTTTGGGTTGAGCTCCAAAGAAGCCCCAAGCCCGAAAAGCACCACAACAAAGCCTATAGGCAGTTGCGGTTCTTCTGGGTTTGGAACTCAGGGGTGACATCGCCCTGACGGTTTTGGATTCTTCCGTGGTTTCTCAAGGCTTAGGTGCTTGTTTAGGGTGTAGGAGTTGCGGTCTTGTAACTTGGGAATTTTCTGGTGTTCAATCTTGGTCCCTAAGCATACCGGTATCTCGACAGTTCGACCTCTATGCAGTGCCGCTCGTGTGCCCTTGCAGCGCCTCTGATGGTGGCATGTATGTGAGCGCAAACCATGTGCGTCTGTGAATTCCTGTTAGACGTCTAGAAACGGCACCTAAACCCTAACAGACTCTAAATACTGAAGCGAGACCCATGACCCGCGCGATAACTCGCGTGAAGATTTCGGGTGAAGGTTCTTGGGCACTTCAGTGGTTCTTGTAACTGCTTGTTTGCAGGTTTGTTATACTTGAACTATACCCTAAACCCTCAACCCTAAACCCTAAACTATACGGCATGACAAAGCCCTGACCTCTTCAAGACTTCAGAAGCAGTAACTCGATCCTACGAAGGCCGGTCCAGGGACGAGAGCCGCCAATACAGGGGCCTAAATAATTACCTATACTATTTTTGGGCGTTCCAATTACAATTAGGGCCTACTTTGTAGGGGCCTTAATAATGACCTCTACTATTTTGGGGGTTCCTTATTATACTTATAGTACAATGGGCCCCAAACCCTATCTAGTTATTCAGGCACCCTATATTATGGGGTTTGTGGTCTAGGGTTCAGTGAGCGAGGGCATCTATATCTCAGAGTTGGAGTTGATACGACGAGCCAGTATAGTCCAGGCATAGTCTGCAAGCATGTGGGCCAAGCCCCAAAGCTAAAGCAAAACAAGCAACAATTAACTTCCCCCAAAAGCTTCAACAGCCAAACTTCATAGACACCCTGAGCCCTCGACCCTAAAACCCTTCGGCAAAGCTCTACTTGGAGGTTCTTTTGATTTAGTTCGTTAGTTAAGTTCAATAACACTTAGTTACAACTACATCCCTAGAACCCAGCTTTACCAAAAAGCCTTGAATACAGTGAGGCCTCCCCGCGGGCCCAGAGCTTGGATTCCGTGCACTATCCGATCTTCGGCAACTCCTTGATGGCGGATCTCGACATGGAGAAGAAGGACGAGAAGGCCCCCGTAACAGGGGGTTTACAGGGTTTAGAAAGTCTAGGGGGGCATCATATCCCCTTTCACACATACCATCACGTATCCCAAAACCTCGTTCTTTCTCTTCAGGCGCCTACTGCAGGGGTTTATGGCTCTTCTTGCGTTCCTGTGGGCCGCGGGGGTATTTGGGGCTCAGGGTCATAGAAAGTCTGAGAGCAAAGAGACATTGAACAGAAGGTTTAGGGTTTGAGTCTAGCACCCAACCCTGAACCTGCATACTACAGGGGTTTAGGGTTTAGGGTTTAGGGTTTAGGGTTTAGGGTACCTGCATACTACATCATACTTCCTAAGCCACTGCACACTGTAAGTCCTCAGCGACAAAATCAGGAGTTCTCTTCATGTAGGGTCCTTTTTTAGATGCCCCCAAATAGTAGGGCACCATTATACAAAGGGACAATAAACAGGACCCTAATTAGAGAACTACCCAAATGAAGTCTGTGACCAGTTAAGGCATTTGATGCAGTCGGATCATGAAAATCGACCCCTTTGAGCTTTTTGAGTCATGAACCCCGATTCCTTTCAGCTTTTTGAATCATCAAGCCCGATGAAAGTGAGTTTTTTGAGCCATGAGCCCTAAACCCTCAACCCGAAACCCCGCCATAGTGCTGCACAGCCGAAGTGCTGGAACCCCTGGCTCGAAGTCCTCGCCGGAAGATTCGGCTGATACGAGGCATTGGGGTGAAGACCATCCTGCCAGGGGGTGCAGGGTTTAACTCCCTAAGCCCTAATCCCTAAACCCTAGGGCCCTAAACCCTGAGCCCTAAACCGTAGTTTAGGGCTTTTGGGTGACCGGCTGTATCGGTTTTGTGGAGGCTTCGGCGAAGCCGACTCTAGCAATGGCAAGCTGACAAACCCTGAGCTCTGATCCCCCAAACTCTTCGACCCTAAGCGCATTCTAGCCCCCGTTGTAATTCTTGCTTGGCTACTTTAGAAGATCCTAAATATGACATTGGTTAAACCAGCAACAGAAACCGCAAAGGAGACTTATATTTGTAACAGTCCGAAGGCGCTAACTTAATTTAAATCTCCAGACGTGCAGCCCTAAGTCAGCCCGAGGTCCTGCAACCCTCAAACGCTTATTGCTGGTTGAAAACTGTAACATATATTTGTATATGCATATATATACATATATATATATATATACTTATACATACATGTTTATATGTATATGGTATGCATATCTAAAAAATGATATGGAACCATGTAGAAGATAACAATTCGCCTAAACTCGTTCTTCGACCCTTACCGGTTGTCAACCGGTGCAGGCCAGCCGTTCCTGGCCAAAGTCACGCACACCGAAGGCTCTGGCCATCCGCTCAGTATGCTTAATGTCGTAAAGGTTCAAGATGTCAATCAGAATAGGGTTGAGGGGTTTAGGGTTTAGCACCGTTTAGGACAAGGTTTATAATTTAGATCTTACCCAAGTTACCAACAAGCCAGGCGCTGTGGCTGAAATGTATACCTTCTCGGGACTCAGCACTCGGACCCTTAAGTATGCTTTCAGCAGTTTGCCGTTACTGCTCTTGGGTTTCTGATGACTGTGACGACGCGAGGATGCTGTTGAATGATTTCGAGGTCGAGCTTAGTGGTTTCTGGCTGTTGGGGCATCAGGTATCATCAGTTGGACGATAGAACCGTGAGAGATTCGAGACATAACTTAGGCCTGGCAGCCTGGCAAGGCAGCCCTTCTAACAGCCTCTCCGCCTTTCCAGCAACAAAGCTGTGATGCCGCGCTCGTCAAGCCCTGATTGTACTTCAAACGCACACAAACAACCAAGCAAACAAACAAACGGCCAAACAGCCAAACAAGCAAACAATCAAACAAGCAAGCAAACACACAAACAAGAAAGCAAGCAACAAAGCAAGCAATCAAGCGCTCAAACACACAAAGCAAATAAACAAACAAATAACCACCAAAAAACATACATACATACATAAACAAACAAACAAACAAGCAAGATCAAGCAAGCCAGCAAGCAAACAAGCAAACAAACACACACGCACACACACACACACACAGACAAACAAACGCACGAAAGCACATCCTTCCATCGCACCGTCCATCCAGCGACTGTACCATGCCACAGCCAAACAAGATGTAACATAACACAACATAAGATAGATAGACATGGCATATAAAGTACATGTATGCATGCGTGACTGCGTCTGTACCCACGCACGTGCATGTGCAGACGTACAGCTACAGTACACATACAAAGACGAACACAAACACCCAGATTTCTTTCAACCCAGATGCGAGTCACGTACAACGCTCATATGCATGCATGCATGCATGCATGCATGCATACAAACATACTCATTCACATGCATGCGACATGCAGAACTACGCACAAGCAGACATGCATCCATCCACCCACCCGCCCGTCCGTCCGTCTGTCTGTCCGTTCATCCATCCATCCATCCATCCATCCATCCATCCATACCTACCTACCTACCTGCACACATGCATGTATGTATACATGCATACATCCTTACATCTATACACAAACATCCATACGCATTCATATAAACATACAACAGAAAGACATGCATAACATAAACGAGATTGGGATCTGCAGATATTCGCATCAGAACCCAGTACTTGGGGAGTATTGCACACCGCAAAGAAAAAACTAAACCCAAAGCGCCAGTCCTACTTGAAGGTTAAGGGCTCGCTTTGAGGTTCAGGGGTTGGGGCTTAGGTCAATCTGCACCCGAACTCCGCACCCAAGCCAAGGACGGAAAGCATCAGCCGAAAGGTCGTGTACCAAAGGTCAAGGATCGGATTCATTTGCTTTCCTTGGTTGGCTAGTGGTTTATTTCATGTCTCCAGGAAATGCTTCTGCTGCATGTCTTCTAGGCTGGTTCAAGTTTCGGGGACTGTTTAGCTTTATTTGTGGTGGAGGTCTAGGGTGTAGGGTCGGAGATGATGGGGCTTCGGGCAAAACAAACTATGCCTCGAACCTTTCAAGCATTAGGGCTTGGGCGTAGGTTCAGAGGCTTACAGCGTCCAGCTTTGGCATTGGAAGTGCCCCTAGCCCTAAACCCTGAACCCTAAACCGTCTTGCTTGAGTGAATCAGCCTTTGTCTGCCCTTGATACAGTGGGGCGGCTTAGACTGAGGTTTTTTCGAAACCCGGCAGTCAGACCGGGGTGAGTGCAAGCTTGATAAACAGGACAAATAGCCGTCGTCCGAGCTGATCACGAACGGCTTTGCGTAAAGGCCCCTCAGGGCTCACAGGGGTTTGGACCATGATGCCAGACCCCACGTCCGAAGCTCGAAACTCTGGCTTTAGGGGTTTAGGGTCTATAGGGTCATGGGACTTAATAACTAGGGTTACAGTAGAAGCCCGAAAGTTGGAATCCCAATAGCCTCACCCCTGAGGAGTAATGTATGGGGAATCGCAGCACTATTTGTCGTTAATCCGGTTTCCAACCTTCTGGGGTTTACTATATAAACAAGGTAATTGTAGTTTTATTTACTTGCTCTCAAAGAAAGGTGCTTTTCACCCTACAAACAAAGTCCCAAGATCCTCCAAGTACTCCGAAACCCTGTGCTCTAAACCCCCTATAGACCCTAAACCCGAAACCTAAAACCCCTAAAGCCTTGACCCCTGCATGAACCCTAAGCCCTTCCTTAACCTCGAAACCCCTAAACCTCTACACCCCCAAAGCCAACCCCAAACCCCTAATTAGGCCCTAACCCCTAAACCCCTGAACCGCGAAAGCTTCCAGGAGGGGCCGAAGAAAGGGCTGCAGAAGATCTGGAACAAGACTCTCGGCATCTGGGAGGAGCCTTGAGGCAGAACCACCGCTTAGGGTTTAGGGTTTGGGGGTTTAGGGATTGCGGTTTAGGGGTTTGGTTAAGCTGTCCCCGAAAGATTCTATTTGTCTTTAGGTGCTTAAAGGAAAAGCATCTTGAAGACCGGTTTTTTGGGGGGGGGTTTACAGAGGCCAGGAATTTAGAAGTGTCAGTTAAAGAGTGACATAAGGTCTTTTTCAGGAAGTAGAACGGGTTTTTGGCGCGTATTCTACGTATATATAAGGAGCCGTAAGGAATACTACTACTGTAGCAATTCTTCCGAACTCCGTGTTATCTTCATGACATGAGGGTCGAGTGCAGGACCGTCTATGCTTCGTGCAAGCAAGCACTCTGCACAGGGACTGGGTATTTAGGGTTTAGGGTTTAGGGATTCGAGTTGTTTGGGCTTTTGGCATGGCGCAGGGCTTTGAGGTAGTCCGTGGCCGCATACCCATGCGCATGTAGTTTTGAACACAGAGACTGAGCAGAGAGTGCCAAGACGTCCCAGAGCTTCGTCGTAAACACTAAGTTCATACCACGACAGCTCAGAGCAAATCCCACTTGCTTTGGAAATCCCCTAGGCCCAACCTGATGCCACTCTCTTTCCAACATGACACCCAGTCCCTTGTCAGGCCCTCTTCACAATGCACCAAGCGCTCCATAGCGTTGGCATTGACACTGACATCTGAGCTGCTCCTGTGGGCTTTCATGGAGCATCTTTCACTCACCGCTTCCGCAGTATACAGATTTGGGAAGACTGGCTGTCTAAGCCTGCGGGCCTTGTAGACCTCAACGCCTTAAGCCTGAATCTCTATGCACCCAGCCTTACACCCGAAAGCCTCGAGCCCTAAGGGTTGAACCCTGAATCCGAAATCTTAATCCCTACCTGTGACCCCAAACCCTACAAAATAGTAGGTTATGACCCCTCAATTAGAGGGTCGAACCCATAAAACGGTAGGGTTTTGGATCCCCAGGTATACATCCCCTGCCATCGATTTCCGACACTCTGATCCTCCGGGTTTGGATTTGGGTTTAGACTCGGGGGCTTCTGGTTTGGGGCTTACCCATAGGCCAGATAGTAGTTCCTTTTGGGGGTTACCTTAGAGGATTCTGTATATGAGCCCCCAAAAGGAACTACTTTAGGGCCTATGGGTAATTATTCCTTTCGGATCTGGTGTGTAGTAACCGGTTTAGGGTTTAGGGTCTAGGGTTTGTAACTTTAGCGGAGCTTCTTCATCTGAATGGCCAGCTCCCCAAGCAATCCGATCCTTGATGCCTGCATGCTCCTGGGTACTGGCACGGAGATTGAAAAGTACCCTTTGCGGAGTGTAGTACATGGGACTGTTCGGTTCACGCCGCAGGGTTTCGGAAACCCTAAACCCCTAAACCCCTAAACCCCTAAACCCCTAAACCCCTAAACCCTAAACCGGAAACCTCAAACCCTAAACTTTGCGGGTTAGGGTCACCGGGCACCTCGCATGCTTTGCATTCGCGGAGAATTCCAAGAGAAGCTCTGGATTCTAGAGTGACTATCGACAGCTGCAAAGTGTGAAGGCTTTTTAGGAGTTAGCACTTAAAGCAGTAGTTTTAATATAGGGGTGAGCATTGGTCCGGGTTTTTCGTTTATGTACGACGGCTCATATGGTAGCAAGTACCCTTGGACGCCTCTCTTGCATGGCGGCGCGACTTTCAAGGAGCCCAGTACCAAGTGAGTAAATGAGAGGCATTTCGGTCATTAACCCGGGCCTGCCCCCAGAATTCAGAAGAAGGAATCTCAGCAGCAAAGCCCGCAACCTCGGCACAGCTATGCGGTGAGCACTAAATTGTCAAACATAATTTTACCCAAAGGCTAATTACACCCAGAGATCCCTAGCCTAGCCGCATGCCCAAAACCCTCAACACCAAGCCCTAACCGCACAGAATGTCTTGCTAAGCTTTGCTGGGCTCCCAACGCGCATGTTCCACCGGCAAGTTCCGGTTGTGCTTTGCACGTGGTCAGCCCGACATTCCGAGAGAGCGCAAAGCGGAACAGCAAGTATAGAGCTTTGCAGTCTGCCAGAGAACGCAATCCGAGTGGTAATAGTAATTGTTGTGATGCTGCTGAGGATGAACTCGATGGTGATGTTCATCACGATGCTGATAGGGTAGCTGCTTATGTCGAGGATGCTGAGGACGATTCAAATTGAAATTGTAGGTTGCAGCGCCTGGTTTTCAATAGAATTCTATGTCCTGTTCCGTCCTGTGCCTCAAATCGTGTTTGTGCGCTCTGGAGAGCACGTGCAAGAGTTTTATATGTCTTCCGGCAGGGAGGATTCGCGAATCCAGGGCCCCTCAAGTGGACAGCCCTTAAGTCGAACCCTCCCCCATTCCCCAAATCCACCCTGCTCGTCGGAAATGCCTTGAAGCCAGGGCAGACTCAGTCAGAAGAGCCCATGGGATTCAGGTCTTCATGGCATTTGGAGTCAAGCCCTAAGCCCTAAACTCCTAAACCCTAATTAGACCCAATGGCTCGCGACTGAACCTACACAAGTGGTCAGATCGGGACTCAGCTAAATCTCAGTACGTCAGGAGGGAATTGCTGTCGAAAAGGTGCTGTCTGCACAGCCGAACACGCCTAGCGTGGCCTAGCATTGGCTATTTTCAGCTTCTAACGACTTATGTTTATCGTTATTGTTATTGTTATTGTTGTTGTTGCTACTTGTTGTGAGAACTCTCGGATTCAAGAGTGGCATCAATTGATGCCTGAAGCTCTTCACTTAACACGTCCCATCCGTATAATAAAGGGGACTAAATAGTTACCCACATTATTTTGGGGGGTCCTTATTACAACCAACACTATGATATACCCCCAAATAAGGCCCCTACATTATAGGCCGGACGGCTTCACCCGGGTTCTGGGTTTAGGACTTTGTCAACCCGGAGGTTCCAGACACTCCGGGCATGATCGCTCGAGCTTTGTGCCTCCAGTCTGTGGGGTTCTCTATGGGGTTTAGGGTTGGGGTTTAGGGTTTAGGTCTAGGGTTTAGGGTTTAGGGTTTAGGGTTTAGGGTTAGGGTTTAGGGTTTAGGGTTTGATTAAATGCCGGAACGATTCGACGATAGCCTTCGAGGTGGTTCCTGGAATCCCCCCTCATGACCCATCCCCTTAACTCCTGCGTGCTCTAGAAGCCTATGTGCAGGATGAGTCGGCTCGGTGCCAAAAACCTGTAGAAATGCCAAACTTAGACTTCGCTGTACAAGGCCCTCTGCGAGGCAAGTGGGCGAATCCGCTAGTCCTGGTCTGAAACCAACGAGCAAGCAAGCGGCTTAAAGTTAGGAGTTACAGGAGATGACCCATTTCAAGCAATCATATGTTTAGCCACGCCCTCCTCCAAACTGAGTCTTCAGCTAAGGCCTCACCGGCAGCACTCTTTCGCTTGTTTCATGCCGCACAGCTGCTGCGAGCAAAGGCGTCTATCGTTCTTGTCTTTATGGTTGGGGCCTATTACTATGAGTCATGGTTGGAGGCTTCGCTCTTAGGCTTTCGCACGCGGTTCGGATGTCAACTTGTCCGTCCAAGCTGCGCTTCAGTGGGGCTGTCTTGTTGTGTTGCAGTCTTTCCAGGTTGACCGTGATCAACTTGCTTCAACATAAATCGTGCTTGCTTGATGTGGTTGTTCATGCTAGTCTTGTAGCCAGACTTTTTGCTTGGCTTGGAGCTCCTTTTCAGGGTCCTTTTCTGGGATTCTGTGCCTGGCCCTAATCTGTCTATCCCGAGAGCTTAGATGTGCCGGCTTCGCACCTTAATGCCCTGCTTAAGCGGTCATGGGACTTAGTACGACGTAGGTGATAAGCCGGACGTAAGTGCAATAACTCCAGTTGGGGCACATGCATCCTCAACTAGCCGACCTACTCAAATCAATGCTCCTTGCAAAACCCTTACGACCCAGCCAGGTACAGCCCCATGACACTCTGTTAATTACCCAAATAGCATCTGTGACTTATGGAACTCCTAACACAACTGTGGCAGAACCCTTGCGTGCCCCTTGTAGCTAATAATATAAACCAACCGCAACCTAAACTAAATTTCTGATAGAACCCGTTGTAGAATTCCTTATACAGCTTCTGACAGAAACTACGAAATCAAACCTCTCTAGAGGATGCCCTGCGCCTGCTACGGCTGGCTGCCACACGGGCTGGTGCGCTGGAGGTCGACGGAAGTGGGTTGTTGAGCGGAGTAGATTTAAGATTGAGGATGTCAGGGTATGTTAGGATTGCATGGGGGTTTAGGGCATCTTTGGTTTGTGTTTGTCGTTTAGCGGCTTCTGGATGTTTCAGTGAGCTTCAAGAAGCGTCTTCGAAACCAGCCACGACCGAAATGCTTTAGCGGCTGTTGCTTGCCGTGGGGCAAAACAGTGACGACTGATTTTGAATGACGTTTCTTGTCCTGCGTTGGATAGCCGCTTGAGGGTGCCAGACGGTTTACATACATACATACATACATACATACATACATACATACATACATACATACATACATACATTCCTACATACATACATACATACATACATACACACACATATACATACGTACATGCCTGCCTACCTTTGTACATAGTTATTTATTTTTTTACATACCTACATACATGCATAGATACATACATACATACATACATACCTACGTACATACATACGTACATACATACATACATACATACATACATACATACATACACAACGGAGAGACAGCGGGAGAGAGAGGCGGAGCTTGTGCTACACAGCCGTGGTCGAGTCTTGCCATGAGGTTTGTAGCATGCATGCCTCGTCCCTGCGAGAAGGCTGGCTTGCTGGTGATGGGTGAAGACATGCTTCCTCATCATGCCAAGGCGCATTCTAAAGAAAGGCTAGAGGTCATGCCAAGCCCTCATGATTTAGTTACAACAAGGGGAGAAGGACGACAGCGATTACTCCTACTACAGCACTACTGTACTACCAGCTACTATCCGCACTGCAATTGCCAA